GCAAAGCTTGAAATGCATTGGCTGCATCCGAACGGCTTTTCACCAGTGTGACTTCTGCAGTGCACCAGTAAGTTTTCCACTCTTCCGAATTTTTTACCGCACTGCTTGCAATCGTATGGCTTCGCACCAGTATGAGTCCGCATGTGGACTTTCAAATGATTTTTTAGTCCAAAGCTGGAGTTGCAGTGGTTACATTGGAACGGCTTTCCGCCGGTGTGAGTTCTCATGTGTGTCTTCAAGTAAAATTTGTGCGCGAAGCTGGAATTGCAGCGGTTGCATCTGAACGGCTTTTCGCCAGTATGAACTTTATAATGCCTCCGTAAACTTTCCACTCTTCCGAACTTTTTGTTGCACTGTTCGCAATCGTATGGTTTTTCACCATTATGAGTTAGCATGTGTTTCTCTAAATCAATTTTTCGCTTGAAGCGCAAATTGCATTGGTTGCATTTAAACGGTTTTTCACCAGAATGTTTCCGTAAAGTTTCTGTTTTTACAAACTTTTTATTGCGCTGTTCGTAGTTGTATGGCTTCTTTTCGCAGTGCCTCTTCAAGTGAATCTTCAGCTGTGAATCAGTAGAAAAGTTTTTACCACAATAATTGCATATGTGGGAGCATCCACCATCATCGCCAGTTCTATTTTGATCGTAACCAACACATTCACTTCTGTTGCTTGCAGTTATCGATGTCGCACAGCATCCTTCCTGAAAGGATCGGTAGCTATCGGTGCAGTTGGCTGCGTCGGTCTTTGTCTGATTCTTCGACGAAATTGGACAGGCAAGCTGCAAAACAGAAATGTAACAGGAAAATCGCTTTGTCCTTTACAACTCACGTAAAATAGTCAGCTAAACGATACACCCGATCATCCCTTTTTTGCTAAGAAAAGCTTCGCAACTCAAATCGCTAGATAATGCGATTTATTAGAAGTAAATCCATACTTTCCTTATTCCCCATTTTACTTCATGGCCGACAAGCATGGCGCACTGAAGCGGCGAAAATTGTTTGGAAAATGGGGATCCACAATTTTAGCGGGGAAATCATTTTCAGCTGGGAACGAGCTCAAGGGACAAATTTTGTTTAAAAGCACATTATGCTTGAAGTATGCCAAAAACAGGTTGGCAGATTCACAAACTGCTACACCAGGAAATAATTTTTATTGAAACTTCGTCTGTGGCAAAAAATTTAAACGGCATAAGCTTGTTCAGCTCCGATAAATGCCATCATTCTGGCAAACATTTACCATTTTGACAATTTCTTTGCTCGGTTTTATATAAAAAACAATGTTTTAAAATATTACCGGGCCTTTGGTAACTACTAGTACCATTTGCACGAGTACAATAGACATCAAAAGCAACGCCATCCTGAGGGAGCAATACTGCATTATCCAATAAGCTAGACCACTTCTTCCTTTCGCATACTTCCTGAAGGAATCACGAGACGCTTTTTCATTTCCATCCAGAGCAGCAGTACGCCATCCTTCCAGCACCTCCATTCACTAATACAAAATAAAGCAAATGAGCAGCTCTAAACCAAGATACGAGAGATGATGCCTAATAAGCATAAATGGAAAACAAATAATTATGCTTCCCGTCATACAATCTAATTCAGCAACAGAGGAGGCACAGTCTGGTTTCCACTCAAATTGGGCGTAGAGAGTAAAAACTAAATCGGAGGAAAGGGAGATGGGAAGGAGAGCACGTGCCGGCTGAAAAATCTAATTTTTTCTGATGAGCATAAGTTCCGAGATAATAGATCTGAGTACCTTAAATTCAGATGGATATGTTGAAAGGCATTTTGTTTTTCTTCCCTTAACTGTAAACACAGACTGAAAGTCTATTCACGATGCCGTTGATATCGTCGGAGTATCACTGTTAATGAGCTGAACGTCCAGAGACCAATCTTTTCAAAATTAAGATCTGGCAGGATTTTGTGAGCTAGTTGATCGGAATGTAGAGGCATAATTTCACCTCTGATACCTAGTA